TGCTGTGTCTGACAGGAGTGATGCCGTGGCTGACGTTCATGTACTACTTCTCGTACGTGAAACTCGTGGTGACGATGACCAAGTACATCCCGCAGGCGTGGTTCAACTACAAGCGCAAGTCGACGCGCGGCTGGAGCATCTGGATGATCTACATGGACTTCTGCGGCGGAATCAACGGATTGCTGCAAATGCTGTTCATCGCCTACAACTACGGTGAGCGCGCGACAAACCTGAACTTTTTGTGACACCCTTTCCTTGCAGACGACTGGAAGACGATATTCGGGAACTTCGCGAAGTTCGGCCTCAGCGTCGCGTCCATCAGTTACGACATTCTCTTCTTCCTCCAGGAATACGTCTTTTATAGGAAACAAGACTCGAGTCTTCAGCCGCTGAACGAAGAGAAGAGTTTCGAGAAAAGCGAGAGAAAAAAGAGCAGAGTTTCCATCGTTTCGCTCAACAGCGAGAACACGGCGTATCCCAAGATCTCTCACGACAACCTCGGTTTCCACGGCAACGGCGGCCGCAAATCCGTCGTTTCCGTCATTTCCGCCAAAAGTGTCGAAAGTTTCAAAAATGCTTTCAATTATTAAACGTTTTATTCATCAAAAACTGTTTTTATTTCATTCCTTGAATCAATTTCTTTCTCTCTTCGTCTTGTTTTCGCTTTTCTTCTTCTGAGGAAAAGAGACATTAATTTCGAGAACAAAACACACTTTTCTCGCGTTTACCGTCTTTTGGATCCATTTTTGGCGATTTATTGCAAAACACTTTCGAAAAGTTAGCAAAACTCGAAAACGTGTCGAAAAGAGAATGAAATGAAAGTTTTTAATGAAAAGTAATTTAAAATTATTTCCTTTCGAAACGAAATCTTTATTGAAATTCATCTCAAATTTCAGTTCAATTCAAAAATCACGTGAAATTCAATTGCAATCAAAATAGGATTCAAAAAAGGATTTAAAAACTTTGAAATGAAATCAAAAGCGAAATAAAAACTAATATTTTCGTCGAAAACGCCAATAAGTCACGTGATTGCGGCGCCACAGCCACGCGCCCACCACAGCGCCGCCCATCGCGAGCACAGCCGCGATTAGGCAGAGAATGAGAGCCCAGAGCGGGAATCGCCAGCACCGGACGCTCTCATAGGGATAGTCGTCGCAATAAACGCTGATTTCGTTGTTTTCTTTAATAAAGTTTCGCACGTTTTTCGCGTCAATCGTTTCGCAATTGTTGTCCACTTCTCGCGAAACGCATTCAAAATAACGCCAAATATTGCAACAAACCTAACAATGGATTAAGGGATTAGAGGATTATCTTATTTCGCGCGCTTTCCTACCAATTGCTTGTAATTCTCTGATTCCTGATTCGCAGTCAAAGAGTCTTTCAAACCGTCGAAAGAATTCAAATGTTTTTTGTGACAAAACTTTTCGTCTATTTTCTCCAAACACTTGTTTTCGATCGAAAAGTAGCGAAAAATGTGCGAAAAATCGGAGAAAAGAAAGCATTTGAAGACAAATGAGAGAAATAAAAGACATTTGAATACAAAAGAAGACATTTTCCTGAATTTTATTGTCTTTTCTATAGAAACCAGAGATAAGAGAAAAGTAACGGAATTTTTGAACGATTTTTTGCCTGAAATCCAAAACCGGTTTTAAATCGCAATTAATTCTCGAAAAAACACCTGAATTTCGAAAAACATATGTTTTTCAGAAACGAAAACATATTTTTGCAAAAATATTAATAAAAAGTCATATTTTTCAGCAAAAATTTCATTTTGTTTCAAAAGTTTGTCGAAAAAGAATTTCTCGTAAAAGAAAGTGAAAAATATTCTGATTTTGTGTTTAATGTTTGAATTGTGAGAAAAATCAGTGAATTTTGGGAACAATTGAACGAAAGGTTAATTAAACGAAGTTTTGCTTTGAAATCAATTGTTTGTGACATTTGTTACGCAATAATCAATCGGTTTCCATGGAAACGGCATTTCTGTAATAATAATAGAGTGACGCGTCGTTCGCGACAACAAACGAAATGTCCTTTAATTGCGTCCAAAATATCGTGAGTTTTTTCCCAAAATATCGTCTTTTCGCTAAAGAATTCAATTTCAGGACAAATCCTATGGAAGAACACTGCGGACGGAAGCCGTGTCTCCGCCGCCGCCACAGCCGTCGACGCGAGCGCCCCCTTTCGCCGCGGCGTTCACTTTGAAGGCTTTGAACGAAAACTACGAAAAATATTTGCAAAGTTTGCCTCAAAAGCAGAAAGAATACCACAATCTCGTGCTGAATGCGACCAAAGCGCGCAACTATCCCGAGCGCGCGCTCGCCGCCCCTCTCATGCTCGCCACGCAGCAGCGCGCGCTCATCGCCGCTCACGCCGTCCCACGTGACCACTCGTCACGTGACCACACGCCGCCTCACCTCCAGTTCATGAACCATCACGCGATCCACGGCAACAGACCGCAGCAGCAGATTCAGCAACGACACCACCATCACCACCACGGCCCGCACCCGCAGCCACAGCACCCGCAGAGAGCGCCAATGAGCGATCCACGACAGACTCCGACCACTTCTCCGCACTTCAACTTCCCGATGAGTCGAGAGATGGCGCTCGCGAGACAACAGTCGGAGATTCGCCTCAACCGCCACCTGTCGGTCACCACCACAACCATGACCACTCCGTTCACGCGCGCTGTCCACCACTCGCGACCACCGGTCACCGCAGTCGCCACTCCCACCGCCGCCTCCGCCGCCAATCCGCGCATTCCCGCCGTTGCGCACGAGAGGGCGCCACCGGTGCGGCCGTCGGTGTTGCGCTCGCCTTCTGCCAAAAGCCTGATTGAGCGTTCGGTGAATTGCGAGCAAAAAAGGGTTTGTTTTCGGAATTGAAGAAAAAGTTCTGAATTTTTGTGATTTTAGGAAACAATCGAAAAATGGAAACAAATTTCGGAAAAAAACGATTTTTCAAATTCTTCGCAAATATTGTCTCGAGTTTTGCGCCAAAAACCGCATTCGCGAGACATTCCCGAAATGCTGGCCTTTCCGCAGAGACACGTGACACACGTCAACACCAGAGCGCCCGTCGCAACCATTTCGCCCGTTTTGGCCGCTCTGGCGCCGCAAGACAGCCGTCCGCAGAATCTCGCGAATGGACACCACGTGATGACCAACAGAGTGCCGGCGTGTCACGTGACGCGCAACACGAAGGCCTTTCTCTTCAACCCTAATAATCGCGGAATGAGTGCTCACGCGAACAGAAGCGCGGTTTTGACGCCATTTTCGCCGAAACCTCTGATTGAAGACAAATCGGCGACCAATCAAAGAGTCGTCGACTTTTCCCCCGAATTGCCGCCAATTGGGAACAGAGAGAAGAACGCGCCGACAATTGGCGCCAATTCTGTGGTCTTTCTCATCAATTCGAGACAACAATTGCGAGAAATGCCTTTCGTTTCCACTTTTTCTCCCGTTTTGACAACAGTTTCGCCGCTCGTGACGAAAGCGCCGGCCGTGACGTCAGTGGCGACACCTGTGGAGCGCGATCTCAACAACAATCGCGTTTCGGAGCGGAAGTCGCCCGAAATCGTTGTGTTGGACGACGAGTCACGTGACTCTTCGCAGGAATCGGAAAAATCGCTGAAAATTGATCTAAAATTCGACGAAAAAGAGGAAAAAGAGGAAAAAGTTTTGGAAAAAGAGGTTTTTGAGGAAAAAGACGATAAAAAAGAGCAAAAAGTGAGTTTCGATTTGTTTTCGATTATCGATTATCAATGTTTCGATTGTTTAGGAATTCGACGAAGAATTCGAAGGATTTATGAAAGAATTTATTCAACATTTGATTGAAAGCAAGAAATATATCAAAGAATCGGAAAACGAGAGAAAGTCGCCGCAAATCGACCCCGAAGTGACCACTGGTCAAGCGGTGGAGCGGCCGATGAGTCACGTGACGGAAAGCGAGTTTGTTTTGTGTTTGGATTTAATAAAAGCGCGAGAATTGCGTCGAAAACCGATCGCCTATTTGAACGCCAAATACCCGAAGAACGAGATCTCGCGCTCCGTTTACGCGGGAATCCGCACGAAGAGAGCGGTCATGGATTTCCCGAAACAGCTCTTGAGTCCGTCTTCGGCGCCGAACGGCGAAAGAGAGGCCAAAAGACGGCGCCTTTCTCTGCGCCCGACGACACCGTCGTTGTTGACGACACGCGACGACACGACGGCGGCGGACAAGTGGTCGTCGGTGTTGTCGTGTCTGGACTTCTCGTCGCCGCTCTCGCGACGCATTGTTGCGGTTTTGCCGCACTTTCAACACAAAGACTAGTTTTGAATGTTTTAATTGTTTCTAAAGTTTTTGTAAATAAATGTCAAATAATTCGATAAAAATCGTCAAAAATGTCAGAAATTGTCTCAAAATCCAAACCAAAGTCAACCAAAAGGCCAACAATCCGCCCAAACGCGAGACCAGCGCCAGACACGTCACGCGCCGCACTTCCCGCAGCTCCAGTTCGGGCGCGAGTCTGCGCGCGAGCGTCACGTTGGTCTCCGTGGCGTCTGACGTCATCTCCTCGCGCGTCGCCGATTGGACGTCGGTTTGGAAGCAGTCTTTCGGACACTTCTCGCGACGACAGAAGTCCACGACAGTCGCCATGAAGGCCTTGGAAGCGCACTCTTTGCGGTCACGTGACGAGCAGAAGGTCTCCCATTGGTCCACGTGTTCCGTGCGAACGGTGGCGAAGCGCGAGAGACAGTAGTCACGTGACGGGTCTTCCGTGAAGCAGTTTTCCTGCATTTTCTTCAAAATGCATTTCTCGACGCAATCGTCTTGAGAGGAGAGCGCCGTCTGGCGGTCCAACGCGTAGTCCGCGCACGCGTCCAGAAAGCGCACGCGCGTCGACCAGTACTTGACCTCAAACTTGCGGCTCTGCTTCACGGCCAGCCACTCGCCGTCGTCCGCGTCCGGCGTCCGCAGCTCTGAGTGAACGCGCAGTTGCGGCAGAGAGTCGACGCCCGACGCGTCCGACGAGAACTGCAACAGCAGGTGAACGACAGTGTCGTGCGGGGCGTCGCTGTCGTCGTCGTCGTCGCGCGTGGCGTACGTGAAGCACTTGCGACTCTCGCGCAGCCACTGTCGCGCGCGGCCGCAACTCTTGAGCGCGTTTTTGGCGCGAAGTTTGCATTTGTGAGAGAAGGGAGACAGCGATTGGTTGAAGAGCGCGCGAATGGTTGGCGGCGGCCGATCGGTGACGTCACGGCGACAGTCGTTGGTGTCGTTTTGGACGCAATTGCGAACGAAGGGAACGACGACCGGAAGACAGAGCGTCACTGAGAGGGCGGAACCGGAAGTGGCGGCGTATTGGCCAGAGAGCACAGTGTCGCGCGCGAAGAACGCGTCCAGCGTTTGCCACATCTGGACGACGAGAGCGACGACGGCGACGCCTGCGATGACGACGCGCGCCCATTGTTGGCACGACACGTGACGCGCCAAGTGGTAGACGAGAGACGTCTTGGAGCGCTTCCAGTGTTCCGTCCAGAGCGGGATTTTGTGGCGCAGGGAGTGGTCGTCGGGAACGTCGTATTCGACCTGCGGGCGGGAGGGAACGGGGGTGAGTCGGGAGTCGGGACTGAATGGCAATAATGACCTGAAAGGCGACTCTCGCGGAATCGAAGTGAACTTTCTTCGAGTTTTCTTTGGATTTCGGAACAATTTTTTGATGCATTTTTCGCGAGAATTTGTGTTTGTTTTGAATCGCGTTTCGTTTCTATAGAAACCAAAAGCAATTATTTTTCGAAATCATTGAAGCGTTCATTGAATGCAAAAATGTTTACAATTCTCGCGATTTGTTTATATTATTAAACATTTTGTTATCAAAAAAGAGAGAAAATAAGAAAAAGAAACGAAAAAGAGATTTATTTTTGAGAAAAATCTTTAGTTTTTCACTATTTTTGACAAAACTCTCGGTTTTTGAGCGAAAACTCATTGAAGAGGTCATTGACCCCAAACTGGTGGTCATTATGGGATCGCACGCGCGGAACGCAAACACACGCAGAGATCACGTGTTCTTTCGAACGCATAGTAACTGAAAATGAGAGCGAAATGAAAGATAAGAAGAGAAAAGTTGAGAAAAACACTTGAATTCGAAATAAAAGATGAATTTGCGTTAAATTTATGCAAAGATTCGGAAAAAATGCAAATTTTTGCGAAAAATAATCAAAAGTTTTGATTTTTGCTGAATTTTGGAAATTGTTTGAAAGAAATGTTTGAAAATAAGTTTCATTCTTATCGCGAGATATGATTGCATTCATCATTTCGTGCAAACTTTGGACTCGTTTTTCGCGCTGACACTATAAAAGGCGACGAATTATATGCAAACAGGCATTCATTGAATTGGAGTCCATAATAATCACGCGCTGACAATAATTATGGAGCCGTTCTTTAAAACCGCTTTTCTATTGCTTTTGGTTTCTCTCGTGAATTCAGGTTTCTTTCTATTATTCAAACTCTTCTTCTTTTAACACTCTTTCTCAACAGTTCCAGTTCTGGACGTGAGTCGCGAGACGACAACTATAACCCAGAATGAGTGCGCGCGCAGCTGTTCGCCGAATCCTGCGTTCGTTTCGTTTCCTTTTGGAAACACTTTTAGATATCGTTTGAAAACCGAAACCGAAATTCTTTCCTTCGCTTCGAAACAAAGAGTTTCCGTCGAATCGGGAGTAGAGCTGACGTCACACTCCGGCTGCGAGCTCGCCATGCGATTGGTGGACGCGCGCGTGGGCGGAGTCGGCGGAGAGTACGCCCAGCAGATGGCAAGATGAATTTGCGTTAAATTTATGCAAAGATTCGGAAAAAATGCAAATTTTTGCGAAAAATAATCAAAAGTTTTGATTTTTGCTGAATTTTGGAAATTGTTTGAAAGAAATGTTTGAAAATAAGTTTTCATTCTTATCGCGAGATATGATTGCATTCATCAATGATCGCAAACTTTGGACTCGTTTCTCGCGCTGACACTATAAAAGGCGACGAATTCAATGCAAACAGTCATTCATTGAATTGGAGTCCATAATAATAACGCGCTAACAATAATTATGGAGCCGTTCTTTAAAACCGCTTTTCTATTGCTTTTGGTTTCTCTCGTGAATTCAGGTTTCTTTGAAAATATCTATTTTTGTTTCCATTCCTAACACTCTTTGTCAACAGTTCCAGTTCTGGACGTGAGTCGCGAGACGACAACTATAACCCAGAATGAGTGCGCGCGCAGCTGTTCGCCGAATCCTGCGTTCGTTTCGTTTCCTTTCGGAAACACTTTTAGATATCGTCTGAAAACCGAAACCGAAATTCTTTCCTTCGCTTCGAAACAAAGAGTTTCCGTCGAATCGGGAGTAGAGCTGACGTCACACTCCGGCTGCGAGCTCGCCATGCGATTGGTGGACGCGCGGGTGGGCGGAGTCAGCGGAGAGTACGCCCAGCAGATGGCGCGCGAGTTGGAGGCGCGACAAGTGGTGTTCGGAATGGACGACGGCCGCGTCACCGGCATCTGTTCCTCCGCCGACGACAACGCCTGGGCGCTGGACGTGAAGAAGGCCGTCATCTCCGCGCTGCAGATGAGCGCCAACTCCGTGACTCAGGCGTCGGTCGTCATGGAAACGGACATTCAGGGCGAATGCGAAACGAATTATTTCCCGATTTCTCAGAAATACGAGAAAATAATTCTCCAAAAAGAGAAACGTTTCGAAAAATGTGAGAAATTTCTTTGAATTCAAATCCAATTCTGATTGTTGTCTCGCTTTTATAGGCTCCGACCGCCAGACGGTGCTGTCGGCGCTGTCGCCGCGCCAATACTACTCTGACGTCACACACATTCCCATCACTTCCGGCGCGAACTCCACGTGCGAGATGACGTTCGAGTCGCAACTGCCGGTGGCGGTCACGTGTCGCGAGAGACAACACGTTCTGTCGAAACACGTGACTCTCGTCTCGGGTCTCAGTCTTCGTCTCGAGAGCCAACGAAAGGGCGTTTTCGAGGAGAGATCACGTGATCTGAGGATTCACTCTTCGAGACTGCGAATGACGTCACGCTTCGATTCGGACAACAAGTGGCGCCACTCGGCGTCCGAAGCGGATCTGCAGCAGATCTCGCGCGACATTTGCCAACAATTGACTCTTGAATCGCACGAGAAGTTCGTCCAAAGCGTGGAATCGTTTCCCGAATTGATTTCTATTCTGAAATACGCCGAAAAGAGTGTCGTCCAGAAAGTGGCCAAAAGCGTGCGCGAGGGACAGCTGTGTGCGAGTAAGCAGCTGTGGTCGCTGTGGTTGGACGCGGCGGCGCTGGCCGGCAGCGAGGCGTCCATCGAAGTGCTCGTGAAGAGCTTCGAGAACAAAGAGTCGCAAAACCTGTTTTCTCTGCTTTCGTTCGCTTCGGAGCCGAAACCGGAAGCCATCGAGAAACTGCTGCCATTGTTGGCCTCTGCGCCCAAACACGTGACGCTCGGCATCTCTGGCCTCGTGCACAACGCGCGCCACAACAAAGACATCTCTGAGTCGGCGAAGAAGGCGCTGGCGGCGCATGCGTTGCAGCAGTTGGTGCAGAGGTTGAAGCGCGAGAAACGCGAGTCGGAAGTGGTGGCGCTGGTGCGCGCCGTGGAGAACGTGGGCGTGTATGGAGAGGAGTCACGTGACGCGGTCGAGTATTTGCTGGAAATGGCTTTGAATGAGAATCTCGGAGATCACGTGAGAATCTCTGCTTTGAAAGCAATGAAAGAAGGATTGAATGAAAACCAGAGAAAAGAATTGTTGGAAAAGATATTCAAGAAAAAGAGCGAAAGAAATGAGATTCGAATCCAAGCCTATCGAAGTGTTGTCCTCTCCGGCGCGTCACGTGACCAGTTGGAGCAGATCCGCGCGATCGTGCAGAACGAGGACAACAAACACGTGCAACAGTACGTGCGCTCGCACCAGAAGAATCTGCTGAAGACGTCGGATCCGCACAAGAAGGACGTGTTGCCGTCTTCGGCCCCGAAGTTCGCCGAACCCCAACACCAGCTGTGGGGCGTGTCCGCGAACTACGAGTCCAGCTTCATGGTCGACGCCTTGGGATTGGGTCTGGCCGTGGAGGCCGACGTTATTTATGCGAAAGAGTCGGAGTTCCCGCGCGCGCTCGCGGCGAACCTCACGATTCCGGCGTTCGGTCGCGAACTGCAATTGATTGAAGTGAACATAAGGCAGAAGGGCTTCGGACAGCTGTTCGGCCAGAAGTTGCGGCAATTGCGGGGAATCGCCGGAAACTCGGTGTCGAAGGAAGCGCTGAAAGAGATCTTCGAGTTCTTCGCCTCCGCGCAGCAGTGGACCAACGAAGTGAAGTCACGTGACCTCGAGCTGGCCATCGGCGTCAAGATCGACGGCAAGCACGTGATCTCCGTGGACTTGTGGGATCTGCAGAAGAGCGGATCCGCTTTCCAACAACTGATCCGTCGTCTGCGCGACCGCCTGGCCATCGACTCGGCGTTCGCCGTCCAACCGCTGAACACGAGAATCCGAATGCCGAACGGAAACGGAATGCCGATTGAGTTGCGACTGAACGCCACTATTGTGTCAGCGCTGAAGGCCAACGTCCAATCAGAGGCCGAGAAGTTCGAGATTCAAATCAATCCCAATTTCGTCCTCCAATTGGAAGCCGGCGTTTCGTTCGCCGCCAAAACGCACCAAAAGGGAGTGGAGATCGTGACCAGAGTGTCGTCGGGACCGCAATTCAACGCACGCGCCGAAGTGAAGGATTCGCGTGTTCTGTCCGTGAAGATCGCGCCGAAAGAGAGACAAACTGTGATTCGCATCGAAGGCGCCCTCTATGAGAGGGATTCGGAAGGACAGCGAAAAGCGATGAAAACTCATTACAATTACGACCGGAAATACTGTTCGCCAACGAGAAAACCCTTCGGTTTGTAATCCTTTAATCTCTTAATCCCTTAATACTAATCCCTTTTAATCCCAGGAATGGAGATTTGCGCGAAAATCGAATCCCAAACGTACGAAGTCTACATCGAAAAGACCGACCGTTCGATGAAATCGTTCGACTTTGAGATCGAAAGACCGGCCAAAGAGTCACGTGACGCCAAGACGTATCGCGTGGCCTTCCGAACGCCCAACTCTGAGATCGACAGAGAGATGTCCGCAGAACTGGAAGTNATCGAATCCCAAACGTACGAAGTCTACATCGAAAAGACCGACCGTTCGATGAAATCGTTCGACTTTGAGATCGAAAGACCGGCCAAAGAGTCACGTGACGCCAAGACGTATCGCGTGGCCTTCCGAACGCCCAACTCTGAGATCGACAGAGAGATGTCCGCAGAACTGGAAGTGTTGCGGCCGTCGGAGGGAAGACACGAGGCGAAGGTGCAGCTGAAGAGTCCGTGGATGCGCTGGTCGGCCACGTCTTCGTTGAGGAACGAGGAGAAGGAACAGTCGGTGAGTCTAGAGCTGCAGAACGAGGCCAAGAAGGTGTTCGCCTTCGAGGCGGGACTCGAGAGTCAGACCAGAGGTCAGAAGCGGGAATTCCGGCCGCGAATCAGAATCCAGTTGTCGCCGAAGTCGGAACCGATTTCAATGCA